GGACAAGTGAGGAAGACTATGGAAGACCACCAGAGACCTTCACTGCGCCTGCGTGAAGAGACATTTATATATGCTAATTATTTATTGGAAAGTTAATGATTATGTATAACATTTTCCAGAAATTTAGTGAATATGTATAACAGGTGTGTATTTAACCTGCATCGTTAGACTAGCCAGGTGCACATGGCAGGTGGAGTGATCCCCCATGTGCCCAGCGCTGCAATAAAGGAGGGCCTGCTTCTTAACTTCTCATTGCTGTTAGGGAGTTTTATTCCGGATTTCGGTAACACTAGCCTCATTCAAATTTGGGTAGCTGTGCTGCCTTCTAGTGCTTCTATCTTTAACAAAAGACTTAGTTCTGCACAACTTTTGGAGCACTTCTTACTATTCAATTGATTATTACCTGTGGTTTTAGGGTAGCAGATCCATTTCCTTCTCCTCTGTGACCATGAAGGGTTACATCACCACGACACACGGCTGAGTGACCACAGTACTACCATGTCCATACTGACATGCTATCACAAAGTGAAACAGCGAGGAAGCATTTATGTAAGTGACCACCTTAAACACAGCTGTAGGGAGTGGAAATTCTTCAGTGAAATACAAAGGCTGGCAAGAAACCCAGGTTTATGTTCCATCCCTTTCTCTCAAGAGTAGTTGTGACTTTTTGATCGAGGCATTTTATTTTGGTACCACCTGAAACACATTTTTTAAATGGAGTCATGGGAGCTCTATGATGCTTGCCCCTGTTGAAAACTATGTACAACTACTAAGAAAATAAAACCTTCCAATGCCATTAGGCCTTGACCTTAAATCTTAGGAGGCAGCCAGGAAGATCTGCCAATGAAAGCATTTTCTGACAAATGTTTCATGATTGCTGTGATCTGTCTTATAAAAACCTATCTTTAGTAAAAAATCATGTGGTGGGGATGCAGCAGCACCATCTAAAAGCTAAGACTAGTGACTGTGTATGCCCTGTGCTCTCTGATCCAAGTTTGACAAACTGGTAACTGAAAACTTAAAAGTTTCACTTTTACCTGAGTTTTTATGTGGCAGTTAAGAGACTACACCAATATATGCTGTTCAAGTTTCCTCTCATAGCCAATATTGCATAAAGTTAAATTGGCTTACCAGCAGGCCATATTCTATGACAGAACAGACTATTTAAGCCAGATCAGATTCTCAAAATTGCCTCCCACCAAATAGATTTTTCTGATAGGAACACTGCACCGATACAGCCATTCATTTTGCAAGAAACAGCTAGCCATGCTCTATTTAAGTGCTCATGGCTAATTTAAATACACTGCAAATTTAAAGCAAGCCCCCTGCAGTTTTCATGATTGATGTCCTCAAAAGACATTTTTCTCCTAAGACAGACAAATGAAGTAAGTGGATCCTCCTACCCCAGCACAGGTAACTGTGGCTCCGACTGCCCCAAAGGAACTCTCCTCTCCCCACCACCCAGACACTCACAGAGCTTTTCCTGTGCAGGGTGCAGCATTGCTGCTCTTCCATGCTAAAGGCCATGGCATCTCCTCTCCAGTATTTCACATTGTTCTTCCACTGCTGTATTCTTGATCTTTTCATTTCACCCCTCTTTCAGTGTGCTTCACCTTCTCTTTGCACATCTTAGTAAGAAAACCAAGAGTTCGTTAGTCCCCTAGTTGAGTGTAACAGTCCACTGCCATTTGTGTGTAATCTGTTTTTCCACTCTATTCCACAGTGGAGAATGCTTTTGACAAGCCATAATTGAATTGTGTCAGATGTCACTGAATAAAGGATAAAATCTGGCAAATACTGAAGTAGCCTTTATGTAAGGCCTTCATTTCTTATTGTGCCAACCCCCCTGAAACTAACAGGGAAATTACTTTTTGTATGTTTGAAAAGGGAATGGCAGAAAAGCATGATAGTATTTGAGCTCCAGTTATCTCTGCTGCCTCTGAGGTATACTGGCACTGATGTGTGCTATGCATATGATTGTGAGTAGTCAGACAAACACTCTCTTAATTGCCTTCATTAGAGATTATGCAGATTTCTCTGGCTACTCCACGATCCAACAAAAATGGTCATTTTCTTGCCCTCAGCTTGCTTTCCTGCCTTTTCCCTGAGGCTGCAATTTCCTCCCAGTTAGACAGCCTGACTTGTTTCCTACTTCATTTCCGCCAGAGTTGCTTGTGAAAGAGGAGGCAGGACATAATAGAGGCATTAAATCACAATTCCCTGAGAAAAAGGTGTAAAAAGGGAAAATGTTGCAGCCTTGTCCTGAAGGTGAGCAGAAGTTGTCTTTGGACATCGGAAGTATCTAAGAGCTACCTGAATGGACACAAAAGCTTTTCGAGTACCTTTGAGTGGATGCTGCTTCCCCACACGTGCAAACCTTTTATCCAGGTAGATGCCCTTACACCCACAGGCACGCTTCCCATCCTTTCTGCTTTTCCCTTCTTACCCCCCCTTTCTCCACATGTGCTTACCAAATCCCTGTCACCAGCCAGAACTGATTAGAACAGAACAAAAAACCTCTGCAGCATTCTGGACTAGCATTCATCTGCTACAAAGCAAAATAAGTATCACTTATTAATTAGCTTTGTTTTTTCCTGCCTTTTTGGTGCACTTTTAGACTAGTTGAAAAGAAATTCCAGGAGATCAGCAAAGGGTTATGCAGAACTCATTGCAGCTTTTACATACATCACGAGGCCTTGCTGCATAATTTAGGTCTAATGCAATGCAGTTCACAGGGACTCGCCCATATGCTGAGATTGAGCGAAGTTCAGTTTTCAAGGATCCCTTTGTTCTTTCTGTGATTACCTAGCCCACGTTCTCCTCAACCATTCAGTTTAACCACATATTTTAATTCCATCCCTGAGTAAGTTACATTCTTGGCTTTCCATTTCAATTTCCACAGGGCAAATAAAACTGATGGAAAGCGTTTTGACAAGGGTATTGTTATTGCATCCAGTAGCCTGAGATGACTCCAAATCTGGATATTACATTTAATGTTTCTGGGACAGATGCTGTTAGGTCTTTTCATAGGAACACAGTATCATCTGCATACATTAGTAACTTCTGTGCCTCAAGTTGCATACGCTTTATATCCTCTTCACTGCTGACAATTTAATGCTGCAGGGGCACCTCAAACATTTTTCATCACAAAGTAGGGGAAAGGATAATTGTGGAAGCTCATGCACCAAAGGGGCTGAGTACCTTGCACATTATTTATTTCCTTCAGCAAAAGGTGCAGCAGTGAGAAAAACTGCCCAACCCACCCTCTTAGCCTGAAGAACCAAAGCTACTGCTCACAATCAGCATCTGCTTTTAGGCAACTAAGACTTTCTTCAGTTCAGGTGCTGTGCTTCTGAACTCTGCCTTCTTACTGTGCTAGATACTACGGACAGGACCTTCCCAGCAGCCATAATGCTCAGAGCAGGGACAAATGTTGAGTGCTCCATGACTGTGGGTGTACTGACAGAGAACTGCCATGAATGCAGAGTCGAGGCTCACCAGTGTAACAAGGTGAGTAGAGAATAAAGGCAGTGAAAAGTCAACTGAATTTTTCAGAGACAAAAGGCAATCAACTTTTTTTCCTGCCTTTGTTAACGAGGTGCAGAATCACCAATTTGATAGTTTTTCCAGTATTTACATGTTGATGTTCTTTTGTATTCAGAAAAAAAAATCAAATCTGCATTAACAAGTCATGTTTGTGATTGTAAAAAACGTATAATTACATATATACACAGACAGATGTACACAGTCTCACACACGCAATTTCTGCATGAACAACTCACCTACCAGAAAAAAATTCTGTTCTTTAAAACACTATTCCTTATAAACAATTATTATAAGTTTCAATCAGGGAATGGACCCCTCTTTGCTTGGAAAGGAATGCAAGGGCTCCATTCTGCTTCAAGACAAGCATTTGACCTAATATATACACCGTTACATGATCCACTCAAGCATAATTCAAGCACTGCTGGGTCAGAAGTTTTTACAGGTTTTTATAGGAAGGCAGTTTGCCTGTGCATACACATGAACATGTGCACATATGTCTAGATATTTATCCATAGCATCGTGTGGCAGAATTGAGGGAACCTCTAAACAACATCAGCACTCACTGGGACTCTCTTTCCTTACACACCACAGATACAACATCATGAATTCATGTAACATTTCCTAACTCGGTGGATAAGCCACTTCTCCAGAACGTGTGTTGCTCATCATGACTGTAATTATGTAACAGAACTCTGAATACTGTACTATTACAGTAATTATTAATCATTATGCTTCTGTTTCATACAAGTGCTCTAGAGACTGCTGGATATACTGCATTATGCCACAAACTAAAAAAAAAAAGCTAAACCAAAGCTAAACACATCTAAATCTACTGTTTTAAGGACATTTCAACATAATTTACTCTTTGAATTTATATTTTTGTAAGCTCAAAAATATAAAAAAAGAAAAAGCTGGTGTCGATATAGCTGCTGACCTTTGCGACTGTAAACAAAAGACAGTTTTGTCTGTAAAGCAGTAAACAACTTAGAAAATGAAACCTGTTTTGCCAGTGCTTGGAATAGTCAGCGCTTAAGATGACAAACTCTGCATACAAATCAGTTCTTACAGGAAAACAGATTTCTAGACGTGTTTGAGAGAGAATGCAGGATTTCCATGCCTTCAGACCATTGAAACAATTTATTTTAAAATATACTGTATTAAAACCAAATTAGTAATTAAAAAAAACAAACAAAAACCCCCCAGTGCAAAAACCCAAAACGGTGCAAAACCCCACCACATTAGGCCTCTATTCTAGGATACAAATCCATTCCATTTAAGAGCATCACCTTGAAAATAATACAAAACTCCCTCAACTTCATAAGGACTTCACAGAGGCCCATTAGTCCACATCAGAAGACACATTCAGTATTTTAAGCTAAATCAAGTTAAGTGTCTAGCTTCCTTTTTATTAGGCAGCAACCTATACAAAACTGCAATGCTTTAAATTCAGTTGCCTTGGACATGTTCCTGTACACCTAGTATACTAGAAATAAGTATTAATTTTTCACATATCTCTTATAAAAAACTAACAGACATCAGATGGGACTACATTTTCTTTAATTTAGCTACATACATTGGACCCCATGCTCTCCCTTTCTGTGGGAGAACCAGAAGTTCATGCTGTTGCATACCACTGAGAAAAGTGAATTCCTGAGAAACAGCTCTGGCCATTCCACTTATGTCTACAGGCATTACATTACTGCAGGAGTTTAGAAAGAGATTTATTACATCGCTGTTTTCTGCCCTTGAGAGAGTGCACGTAGAATAGACCAATGATCCGCCAGGACGCAGTGCTTTAATAGCAGACCTGCAAATAATGAAAAAAAAAAATTCAACATAAGTGACATACTGGGGGTGGGGAACATGTAAAGATTTACAAATCTAGAGTTATAAATAGGTATAAATAAATATGAGAAAAATAACATTATGAAAATGTCTTAACAGTATATAATTGACAGTTCAGGAAACTACCTGCAACACATTTTTGCTTTCTCATTTATTAATGTATTCTCAGTTAACTGAAGGTATTTTTTATACGACAGTGACAAGTAGAAAGCAGCATCCATTCGGAGTTGCAGAATATACTTCAAACATTTATATGCGCAGCACAACTGTGAAAATGCTGCAACTGTGCATACAAAATGGGTTACACCACATCAAAGTGCTAGTTAGATACTTAGCTAGCTGCTTGTGTGAACAAATATCAGAATGTACACTTGCAGTAATAGCCTGAATTAATTACTGGGCTGTAATTTTACAAACATTGGTGCAAATTCTGCAACTTAATTAGCAGGTGAAAGGACTCGGGGGTTTCACTGAGACACTGCACTTCAACCAGATTTCCTAAGGCAATATGACTTACGGGAACATATTGTCTGTTTATGTGCCCTTCCCCTATTAACCTGTTGACAAATTTTAACTAAACAAAGGCAAAATAGTGGCTTAGGATTTGAAGTACCCTGAAAGCTTATGACTACTGGTAAACAGAGGTTCTTTTTCATATCCCTGCTGAAACTGACTTTAAACAGGCTGTTCACTTTCCATTAAACCAGCTCTGCAAGGTCCTTTTTCAGACGGACAAAATATAACCTATGAGAGTACAGAAATGAGATATGCAATCCACATTCACCTACTGCAAATTAGAGTAAGGAGAAAAATCCCAAATCTTGCACCACAGAAGAGCAATCTGGTACCACCACATAACTGAAAGAGGAAGCTACACTAAAGGTTCATTTGCTATTAAAATGCTCTCTTAAAATAATCCCTTTTAATCATACACTTTGTAGCCTTCAAGGACATAATGGCTCAAAGACTGAGTTGTAAGCTAGTATTCAAACAGACCACCTCACTGCTTCTGGAAAACAGATACCACTGGGTTGAAGCAAATACCACATTAAAATACAACTGTTCCCTAAACAAAACTTTTGTTTACAAACAAGAGAATCTGAACAGGTGAATGCTGTTACTCAGCTTGCGAATGTCAGAAAGACAACAAGGTAGGTGCTCAGGGGACCACAGGTGTGTCACTGGGAATTTAGTAGGTGCACAAGGGCAGGGCAGATACTGGAAGCACAATGACACACACAGTCATGCTGTATGGAAAGACACTGAATAATCTTAGATTGGTAGATATTACCGATAATACAGCATTGACCCAAAATAAAAACATCTTCAGGGAAAAATACAAAGAAGAAAAAAAAAAAAAGAAAAACCACCATATCTTCAAACTGAACGAGGTGAGAAGCCCCCAAATGCAGCAAGCCTGATTCTGAGCCCAGATAAACAAACACAATGCCATTGAAACAGCAATTCCTCCAGAGACAAACTGAGGACTTGCTAAGGGTGATATCTGAAAAAAAACCAGCTGAGAAAGGAAAGAAGAAAATACAAGGGGAAAAAGGCAAGTCCTTTTAACAGGATTGGGCCTTTTCAGGAAAAGAATCAATAAAGAAAAGCCTCATCACAAGCAGCATCAAAGCAGATCACAGGTCAAAGCTACTCTGAAAGTCCTGTCCAAAATAATAAGGAAACACCAGGACAAATGACTGTTTCAGACAGAGATAATACAACTCTGTTCACCTTCTCTGGTGAAAACGTCTGTGTATTATACCCGGTCTGTTTCTCTGGGGAGTGTACACGTTATCTTGCTCAGTTCTTCTGTGAGTCTTGGTTACGTTAATCAGCAAGCCACGTACATATTTTACTGGAGTCTATAGTACTCCAATTTTAGTTAGTGTAATATAAAAGAACAAAGCTCTATCAACTGATGATGCTCAGAGAAAAATCAGCGTTTAATGCCTTTGTTGTATCAGTCTTCAGTGAAAAGATGGAGAGTGAGCAGATGGCTAGCACATTTAGCCTAAGTGAGTGAGCAGTTCAAGTTCAGCCTGTTATAGGTAAAGAACAGGTTAGAGAGTACTTAAGCAGTCTGAATACTTTCAATTTAACTGGGCCTAATGGACTCATTCCAGAATAATTCCAAAATTAGCTAAAGCTATCACAAAACTGCAAGCTTATCTCAGACCTCTGAGTAGCTTTTGAGAGTCTGCAAAAATGTTTAAGAATGTTTTAGACACAGGTTGATATAGGACGATGTTTACAATGTCACCTTGAGACAGTAAAACAGAGCAGGTGTCATCCTAACGTCCCTTCCAGATCGTATTTTCTAAAATTCTGCAGTTACCAGCATACATTTGAATTGCCTAGCTCCAGATATTCATCCTTCCTCCCCTCCGCATTCCAACACACATATACTCCTTCGCAGGCCACAAAAGCACCAGTACTGGACCCGAGGCTCTAAGCTGTCTCCACTGTCTCTCCAGCTACCTTCCTTGCCTGCGGCTGTCCTCCTGTGGCTGCGGCTGTCCATTTAAAAGGGCAGGGCTTACGCTGCTGCTCTCTGGCCTGTCTGAGCAACTGCAGTGCACCCAGATGTATGGAAGGTAACTATTGTAAAGCAGAGCAGGAATGTACAACCTTCCCTTCTCAGGAACAACAAGCCAGCAAGAGAACCGCACACTGATCCCCTGTCTCCTTGGCCTCATACCAGTTCTGGAAAACATAAAAGCATTTTTTTTTCTCCATGTAATAGTTGCTTGCTTTCTAGCTTTCACATCAGAACTCAAAGCGAACAGGGCTGAAGTCTAAATGGGCTCTCAAAGTTGAGCAGATCTTCACAGTATTATTAGAAACCACCTACTTTACTGATCTTCATAGAATTTCCCCCTACAGCTACATGTTTTCCATGCATACAGGAATGCTGAGCCATGAGAGGACAGCTAGCTGGCTTGAAAATGTTTTTGCATGACAATCAAGATGTACTGTTAGCATACCTGATAACGTTACACATAAGAAGCAGAAAATGACAACTACTTTCCTACCTATAAGACAGATACTACATGAACATTTAAATAAGTGAGAAAATATTTTTACCATGTAAAAGTGGAAAAGGTAGAAGGTACAGGTATATACCAAAAAAGTAGACTTACACAGTTAAAAGCTTGGGCGCTTCCTAAGTGTCCTTTTCTTACCATATATTAAGTAACAACCATTCAAGACAATACTTTCAAAGGCACCATGCTTCTACAACTAAGTCACTGGGGCAGTGATGCAGAGGAAAGAGCAGCACAGGCTTCTGAATGAAATCCTGAAAATCTCACATCAACCCCCCCATAACTCTAAGCTTCCTTAGCTTGGGAATCTTCACTGGCCCATGACCCAAAAAGGTCAGGCTGCTCAGTGCAGTTATCTTTATTCTGAACCTAAGTCACGAATTAAAATATCTAAGGAGGATTACTTTACGCTGCAAGGTTAATCAATGTATCTATCCATCTTGTCAAGTTCAGCAACAGTTGTTTCAGTGGCTGTGTTCAAAGTCAACCGACCGCCATCCCCGATTAAGCCGTGCTTGGCTTTTGATAAACCTGCACTAAGCTGCAAAATTCAAAGTGAAGAAGTGCTGGGCTCAAAGTCACAGGGTGATACTGTGCTGGGCTAAGCAGATTCAGGGAGTTTGGTCTCCTCGTCACCAGCATAACAGAGAATTCATTCATAAGAGAGTTTGTTCAAATAAATTTAAGAAACTAGTCTTCCTCTATAATCAATGGAGGGAAACAAGCTTATCCAAGGGATAGGCAGGAGGTGGAGCATAATTTATAGACATCTAGCAGAACCCACCACTGCTACTATGACTCCACCATCTAAGAATGTAAGATTCCTCTTACATTAGGCATCTTAATTATCCCCCAAATCCTTACTTAAAGCTCGACTCTTAGCTGAAGGAATATGGTACCTGTTATAAGGTACTTTGTAACTTCCAAAACCAGGGTCCAGATCTAGAATGATTAAAAAGGATGCTAGTGCAAAAGACCCTAAAATATTTTTTCACCTTCCCCTTATTATAGTATGTTGGTTAAAAATAAAACACATTACTTAAAGGTAATTAATCTGCAGTTATTTTTCTCTTAGTGGTACAGATGACCTTCAGGTTTATTAAAGAACTAAAACTTTCAGTTTAAATGTAGAGCTAGTTATAATTAATGTCATAATTTTAAATTCAGGTGTATACATTTACCATAATGGATTTTACAAGTTGCAGGCACTAATACTGCAAAGTTTCAAGCTTCATATGGAGAAACATAAGAACACACAGTAAAAGCACAGGAAACTTTTTCTTGGAGCCTCATGACTTGCTCACCTTTCCCTATAACCATTTTTGCTTTCATAACGTGACACCACCTTAGTGCTAGCAAGGTCCTTTGGTCTCTCATCTCAGTGGAGGCAGGGGATGGAGATCCATGCCGCAGCAAAGACACAAGGGTTATCCATGTTAGAAACCACGGAAGCGTCTGAGAATGGTCATGTAGGAATTAGGGCTTCTCTCCCCAAAACGGTGGCAGGATCAATAGCCCGACTGAAGTGCATCTACACCAAAGCACACAGCATGGGCAACAAACAGGAGGAGCTGGAAGCCGTTGTGCAGCAGGAAAACTATGATATAGTTGCCATCACGGAAACATGGTGGGATGACTTGCACAACTGGAGTGCTGCAATGGATGGCTATAAACTCTTCAGAAAGGATAGGCAAGGAAGGAGAGGCAGTAGGGTAGCCCTGTATGTTAGGGAGTGTTCTGATTGTCTAGAGCTTAATGCTGGTGACAACAGGGTTGAGTGTTTATGGGTAAGAATCGGGGGGAAGACCAACAAGGCAGATATAATGGTGGGAGTCTGTTATAGACCACCCACCCAGGACGAAGAGGCAGATGAAATATTCTATAAGCAGCTGGGAGAAGTCTAACAATCCTTAGC